GTACAATCGCTAATTCAATTGCAGTTGACATATGTATCGTTGTGGCAGTGTTAAATTAGTAATGTGTTAGTAGTAGTAGTAGATGATGTTGTTGTTGTTTTTTTCATCATCATCATCATCATCATCATCATCATCATCATCATCATCATCATCATCATCATCATCATCATCATCATCATCATCATCATCATCATCATCATCATCATCATCATCATCATCATCATCATCATCATCATCATCATCATCATCATCATCATCATCATCATCATCATCATCATCATCATCATCATCATCATCATCATCATCATCATCATCATCATCATCATCATCATCATCATCATCATCATCATCATCATCATCATCATCATCATCATCATCATCATCATCATCATCATCATCATCATCATCATCATCATCATCATCATCATCATCATCATCATCATCATCATCATCATCATCATCATCATCATCATCATCATCATCATCATCATCATCATCATCATCATCATCATCATCATCATCATCATCATCATCATCATCATCATCATCATCATCATCATCATCATCATCATCATCATCATCATCATCATCATCATCATCATCATCATCATCATCATCATCATCATCATCATCATCATCATCATCATCATCATCATCATCATCATCATCATCATCATCATCATCATCATCATCATCATCATCATCATCATCATCTCCATCATCATTACAATCATTGTTGTTGTTGTTGTTTTGGTTGAAATGTTCTATTTGGTCATGAGTAGACTGGCTACTGAGAATGTGTGTATAAGTAGTATGATTGGTTGTATGTGATCAGAATGGAAAGTGTTGCTGAGCAGTGTTGTTCGGTGTTGATGCGGTTGATAATGTTGATTTTGGTGTGTATGTTGATGTTGAGTGTGTGTGTTTGTGAAATGGTGGTGTTCAGTGTGGTGTTTGTGTATGTGTCAGTGTTTGATGTGCAAATGGATGTGTGAATATTTAGTTAGAGTGGTGTGGTGGCTACGTGTTGATTGGGCTTGTCTGGTTGACTTTGCGCAGTGGCGGTACCGTAGCCAATGAAGTTTATCTGAGGCGCGGTTATTGCTAGTTGAAAACTACTCCCAATACCCCGCACCGATGGCGTGAAATATCGTTGTCGGATGCAATTTTTCTAGGCCGTATCTGGCCCAATTTACACAATACAGAAGTTCGTCGCAGGCTGGCTGGCTGGCTAGCTAGCTCGCTCGCTCGCACACTCACCCACCGACACACGCACACTGTCTACGAACCACAACAACACTGTCACACGGTCTCTGTCACAACACCATACACAGATCCTACTCTCACACACACCTTCACGAACACTGGGACACACAACCAAACAACAGCAACAACCATACAAACACTACTACTAATAACAGTAATTCAAATAATGTACAAATAGCACCACTAACACTAGTAACATTGTTATCATTATTCTTCTTCCTCGTATAATCATTAATTTCATTATTACCACTAATAATAATAATAATAATAATAATAATAATAATAATAATAATAATAATAATAATACTGCTACCAATTATACTGCTACGACTACTAATAATGCTACTACTACTACTACTAATACTACTACTACTACTACTACTTCTCATATCGCCACTGCTGCTTTTACTACAACTGCCAATAATGATAAATACCACACAACCGGAAAATTACAACCTATTATAACACACTCAACTCTCGCTTATGCACACATCTCCCCTTAGCATAGTTCTCATGCAGCAGCAACAGCAACTCATCACCAACACTTACCACAACACAAACCTACATCACCACATTCAATCGTTGTGTGTGTTGCACACAAACAGTCTGATGCGTACGCGTACGCACACGAGCACGCACACGTGCAGGCGCACGCTCAAACACACTCTCTCTCGACACACACATAAAAACAAACACTCGCTTGCTGGCCCTATCGCTCGCTACCTCACACGCACACATTCTATGTTACATGCCAACTCGTCATTACAGTGCAGGTGGAACTCGAACACAGTGTCAGTGCACATCGATCAGAAACCACACATCGTCATAACGATCACACTGATCATTAGCATGAAGTTCGTGGTAACGTGTGATGTATCTAGGGTAGTGAGTAGAGAGAATTATGCATGTAGTATGGCAGATCGAATTGAAGTTGTTTGACGTGTTCAATGATCAACCGAGATACTTATTCATTGAGCTGCTAACACATTCAACCTCTCACTCTCTCATCAGACATGACTATCTGTGTACATAGGAATTATGTAAATAGTTAGATAGATATTTCTACATAGGATTATGCACAGTGGTGTGATCATGACTTCCTTTGTTGTGTGGGTGTTTGTTCTCGCATCGCTGTCATGCAGTGAGCGACAATGAGCAACGAGGAGACGATTCTCAGTGAGGTAGTTTTGTCAAGTGTTAATGGTAGCAATTCACATTAGTGTTTGCGTGCGTGCTTTTGTGTAGATAGATGATTGAGTGAGTACAATCGCTAATTCAATTGCAGTTGACATATGTATCGTTGTGGCAGTGTTAAATTAGTAATGTGTTAGTAGTAGTAGTAGATGATGTTGTTGTTGTTTTTTTCATCATCATCATCATCATCATCATCATCATCATCATCATCATCATCATCATCATCATCATCATCATCATCATCATCATCATCATCATCATCATCATCATCATCATCATCATCATCATCATCATCATCATCATCATCATCATCATCATCATCATCATCATCATCATCATCATCATCATCATCATCATCATCATCATCATCATCATCATCATCATCATCATCATCATCATCATCATCATCATCATCATCATCATCATCATCATCATCATCATCATCATCATCATCATCATCATCATCATCATCATCATCATCATCATCATCATCATCATCATCATCATCATCATCATCATCATCATCATCATCATCATCATCATCATCATCATCATCATCATCATCATCATCATCATCATCATCATCATCATCATCATCATCATCATCATCATCATCATCATCATCATCATCATCATCATCATCATCATCATCATCATCATCATCATCATCATCATCATCATCATCATCATCATCATCATCATCTCCATCATCATTACAATCATTGTTGTTGTTGTTGTTTTGGTTGAAATGTTCTATTTGGTCATGAGTAGACTGGCTACTGAGAATGTGTGTATAAGTAGTATGATTGGTTGTATGTGATCAGAATGGAAAGTGTTGCTGAGCAGTGTTGTTCGGTGTTGATGCGGTTGATAATGTTGATTTTGGTGTGTATGTTGATGTTGAGTGTGTGTGTTTGTGAAATGGTGGTGTTCAGTGTGGTGTTTGTGTATGTGTCAGTGTTTGATGTGCAAATGGATGTGTGAATATTTAGTTAGAGTGGTGTGGTGGCTACGTGTTGATTGGACTTGTCTGGTTGACTTTGCGCAGTGGCGGTACCGTAGCCAATGAAGTTTATCTGAGGCGCGGTTATTGCTAGTTGAAAACTACTCCCAATACCCCGCACCGATGGCGTGAAATATCGTTGTCGGATGCAATTTTTCTAGGCCGTATCTGGCCCAATTTACACAATACAGATGTTCGTCGCAGGCTGGCTGGCTGGCTAGCTAGCTAGCTAGCTCGCTCGCTCGCACACTCACCCACCGACACACGCACACTGTCTACGAACCACAACAACACTGTCACACGGTCTCTGTCACAACACCATACACAGATCCTACTCTCACACACACCTTCACGAACACTTGGACACACAACCAAACAACAGCAACAACCATACAAACACTACTACTAATAACAGTAATTCAAATAATGTACAAATAGCACCACTAACACTAGTAACATTGTTATCATTATTCTTCTTCCTCGTATAATCATTAATTTCATTATTACCACTAATAATAATAATAATAATAATAATAATACTGCTACCAATTATACTGCTACGACTACTAATAATGCTACTACTACTACTACTACTACTACTACTACTACTACTTCTCATATCGCCACTGCTGCTTTTACTACAACTGCCAATAATGACAAATACCACACAACCGGAAAATTACAACCTATTATAACACACTCAACTCTCGCTTATGCACACATCTCCCCTTAGCATAGTTCTCATGCAGCAGCAACAGCAACTCATCACCAACACTTACCACAACACAAACCTACATCACCACATTCAATCGTTGTGTGTGTTGCACACAAACAGTCTGATGCGTACGCGTACGCACACGAGCACGCACACGTGCAGGCGCACGCTCAAACACACTCTCTCTCGACACACACATAAAAACAAACACTCGCTTGCTGGCCCTATCGCTCGCTACCTCACACGCACACATTCTATGTTACATGCCAACTCGTCATTACAGTGCAGGTGGAACTCGAACACAGTGTCAGTGCACATCGATCAGAAACCACACATCGTCATAACGATCACACTGATCATTAGCATGAAGTTCGTGGTAACGTGTGATGTATCTAGGGTAGTGAGTAGAGAGAATTATGCATGTAGTATGGCAGATCGAATTGAAGTTGTTTGACGTGTTCAATGATCAACCGAGATACTTATTCATTGAGCTGCTAACACATTCAACCTCTCACTCTCTCATCAGACATGACTATCTGTGTACATAGGAATTATGTAAATAGTTAGATAGATATTTCTACATAGGATTATGCACAGTGGTGTGATCATGACTTCCTTTGTTGTGTGGGTGTTTGTTCTCGCATCGCTGTCATGCAGTGAGCGACAATGAGCAACGAGGAGACGATTCTCAGTGAGGTAGTTTTGTCAAGTGTTAATGGTAGCAATTCACATTAGTGTTTGCGTGCGTGCGTTTGTGTAGATAGATGATTAAGTGAGTACAATCGCTAATTCAATTGCAGTTGACATATGTATCGTTGTGGCAGTGTTAAATTAGTAATGTGTTAGTAGTAGTAGTAGTAGTAGTAGTAGTAGTAGTAGTAGATGATGTTGTTGTTGTTTTTTTCATCATCATCATCATCATCATCATCATCATCATCATCATCATCATCATCATCATCATCATCATCATCATCATCATCATCATCATCATCATCATCATCATCATCATCATCATCATCATCATCATCATCATCATCATCATCATCATCATCATCATCATCTCCATCATCATTACAATCATTGTTGTTGTTGTTGTTTTGGTTGAAATGTTCGATTTGGTCATGAGTAGACTGGCTACTGAGAATGTGTGTATAAGTAGTATGATTGGTTGTATGTGATCAGAATGGAAAGTGTTGCTGAGCAGTGTTGTTCGGTGTTGATGCGGTTGATAATGTTGATTTTGGTGTGTATGTTGATGTTGAGTGTGTGTGTTTGTGAAATGGTGGTGTTCAGTGTGGTGTTTGTGTATGTGTCAGTGTTTGATGTGCAAATGGATGTGTGAATATTTAGTTAGAGTGGTGTGGTGGCTACGTGTTGATTGGGCTTGTCTGGTTGACTTTGCGCAGTGGCGGTACCGTAGCCAATGAAGTTTATCTGAGGCGCGGTTATTGCTAGTTGAAAACTACTCCCAATACCCCGCACCGATGGCGTGAAATATCGTTGTCGGATGCAATTTTTCTAGGCCGTATCTGGCCCAATTTACACAATACAGATGTTCGTCGCAGGCTGGCTGGCTGGCTAGCAAGCTAGCTAGCTCGCTCGCTCGCACACTCACCCACCGACACACGCACACTGTCTACGAACCACAACAACACTGTCACACAGTCTCTGTCACAACACCATACACAGATCCTACTCTCACACACACCTTCACGAACACTTGGACACACAACCAAACAACAGCAACAACCATACAAACACTACTACTAATAACAGTAATTCAAATAATGTACAAATAGCACCACTAACACTAGTAACATTGTTATCATTATTCTTCTTCCTCGTATAATCATTATTTTATTATTACCACTAATAATAATAATAATAATAATACTGCTACCAATTATACTGCTACGACTACTAATAATGCTACTACTACTACTACTACTACTACTACTACTACTACTTCTCATATCGCCACTGCTGCTTTTACTACAACTGCCAATAATGACAAATACCACACAACCGGAAAATTACAACCTATTATAACACACTCAACTCTCGCTTATGCACACATCTCCCCTTAGCATAGTTCTCATGCAGCAGCAACAGCAACTTTGTGGCGGCCTGCTTGAATACCTGGGCTACCTGTTTCTGCCATCTAAATATTTCAACAAGTTATCTGGGTTTTTTTTAATTTGTTTTAACCTATCATTATGTCTATTAATCGCATAACCTACACAGGCGCGTTTATAAAAAGCTTATGTCCTTTCGCTGCAAAAATTACAAACAAGCACAATAAGAGACATCGTGGTGGTTGGCAATATGCTTTAAAGAGAATAAACATCAATCAAATGTCGATTCCCGAGCTACTTAACTCTAACTGTCGATCACTAATTAACAAGGTGGACTATCTCCAATTTCTGCTAAGTCAAAACATGTATCGTAATTGTGGTGTCATCACAATTCAAGAATCTTGGTTAACTGACTTACAGGATGATTGCTTAGTGTCATTACGTGATTTTAATATCTATCGTCAGGATCGATCAAACAATAAAAAGACTTGTGGTGGCGGAGTAGCTACTTTTGTAAACGTTAACTGGTGTCGATCTACTTTTGCCTGTTTCAAGTTTTCAAACGACTTTATTGACTGTCTAACTTTAAGGTGCCGTCCAAAACACCTGAATAAATACAAATATATTTATGTTACCAATATCTACATGACTCCAGACTGCACATCATCTGCGCTATCTGTCTTCACTGATAAATTTACTGAATTCGCCGTTACTGCCTTCAGTGATTCACTTTCAATTGTATGTGGTGATTTCAATTCATGTGACTGTAGCTTCCTTACATCACTAGGTCACCTAAATGTAGTAGATTTTCCTACTCGTTTGAATGCTCATCTAGACTTGGTTTTCATTAATGATGTGGGTGCCTATGTGACTCGCAAACGTGCTCCATTGTCTAGTTCGGATCACTGTATAATTCGTGTCCTGCCTAAAGTATATGGTAAACATGGAAAGAGTACACACATACTCCATACCAAAAAAGTAATATATAGGAGTTACTCAGAAGAAAATTTACAAAATCTGAAAAACATGTTTCGTACGACCAACTGGGAAGTACTTACAGATGACTCAATAGAAAACACAACGGATGTCATCACCTCTTATCTTAAATTCTGTTTTGATATTTGCTGTCCTACCGAAACCTTCTTTTTAAGTTTTGATCGACTTACATCTCCACAACTAAAACGACTACGGAGGGTAAAAGAAAGGATGTACAAGGAGAAAAACACTATTGAAGTTCGTAAGTTAAATGATCAAATAAACCAAGAGATTAGACGTCTCAACTGTGTGTTCACTCAAAAACTCCTATCTTGTAGAAGCTCTCCAAGTATGTGGAAACTCTTTAAAGAAATTACAGGGGACAGGCAGACTAGAAGCGAAAACCAGCTAAATGTTTGTGACTTAAATAAGTCCTTTATTCATCAGTCATCTGACATCATGCTCCCTATATCCAAGGGTTTGAAGAATAGTTGTGTCCCCAGTTTTACTGAAAATGATGTCCGGAAATGTCTCCAGTCTCTGAATTCATCTCAATGTTTAGGACCTGATGGTATCCCAAACCTCCTTTTTAAAAAATGTGCTGATGTTTTATGTTATCCATTAACAAATATCTTTAACAGATCCTTCTCAACTAATGTCTTACCGAAAATGTGGAGAAAGATAAAGATAATCCCTATACCTAAGAAAGCTTCTGGTGATAAAAATGCGAAACTTAGACCCATTGCAATAACCTCACCTTTCCTCAAAATAATGGAAAAATTACTGATACAACCACTTCAACCTTCAATAAAAGAGTACTGTGATCCATTTCAGTTTGCTTACAAATGCAAAAGAAGCACATTAGATGCCGTTGCTGTTCTGCATCACAATATAGTGTTCGGGTTGGAAAAGGGTAAGAAGTATGTTAGATGCGCTTTTCTGGACTTTACTTCTGCTTTTGATTCTATTCCAAGACACCTCTTACTTAACAAGCTGATTCGCATCGACACTGACAGCTGGATAATCAATTGGCTACGCTCCTACCTTTCTGGAAGAGAACAGTACACTGTATTTGAAAGAAAGTGTTCAACATCTCTACTGTCTACTGTAGGTGTGCCACAAGGAGCTGTTCTTTCACCTCTGCTCTTCTCTTTCTTTTTGCATGATCTGCCATCTTCCACAGAAAACACTTTTGTAAAATATGCGGACGACCTCACTGTATGTATGCCAATTTCTACCTCCTTACATCCTATAGAAATGAATGAGTTTTTGTCTCGTATTGAAAGGTGGTCTGTTGGTAATGGTCTCTTGCTCAATCCATCTAAATGTCAAGCTGTTAATTTTAGCTTGAGACATGGACAGAACCTATACTCTATGTTGGGATCCCATAATGCTTGTGCCATTGGAGACTCCTTAATAAACACAGTGTCGAGGGTCAAATATCTTGGTGTTACTTTTTCCTCTGATCTTTCTTGGTCTTCTCATGTTTTACTATTATCGAAAAAAGTTTACCGCTTGACATACTACATAAAGAGGCTGCATGCTTTTGGGATTACTCGCCATTTACTCTTACAATTTGTAAATTCCTGCATATTACCTATTATTTTATATTGTTCTCCATTATTCTTTCCTGGGCTTTTGAGAAAAGACTTTGCTATTTTGCGTAGAATGCTGAAGGCGGTTTGCAAGGTATGTGGTGAATCTTTTGAAGTCATTGTTAATATGCTTGTGGATAGACATCTTAAGTGTTGCAAACTCTTGGCAGGTGTTATCTTATCAGATACTAACCATCCGCTTCATTCATATCTTTCTCCTTGTATATCTTCTGGTAGAACGAGACGTAAATACATTAAAATCCATGCACGCAAGCAAATCTATAAAAGTTCTGTAATACCTTACTTAGCAAATTTACTTTGTGACGAACAGGCTGTTAGAGTTGACCTAGTAAATAACCTGTCTTCTTAAGCATGTCTCAAATTCGATAATTTGTATAAAGTCGGTTTTTCCTAGACCTTTTTTTTTTTTTTTTTTTGTTTTTTTTTTGTTTTTTTTGTTTTTTTTTTTGTTTTTTTTGTTTTTTTTGTTTTGTTTTGTTTGTTTTTTCGGGTTTCCTTTTTTGGTAAAAAACTTGTTGAAATAACTCGTGCTGAGAATTCTATATTGTACCAGATTATAATATTGAATAAAGCCATTAATAATAATAATAATAATAATAATAATAATAATAATAACTCATCACCAACACTTACCACAACACAAACCTACATCACCACATTCAATCGTTGTGTGTGTTGCACACAAACAGTCTGATGCGTACGCGTACGCACACGAGCACGCACACGTGCAGGCGCACGCTCAAACACACTCTCTCTCGACACACACATAAAAACAAACACTCGCTTGCTGGCCCTATCGCTCGCTACCTCACACGCACACATTCTATGTTACATGCCAACTCGTCATTACAGTGCAGGTGGAACTCGAACACAGTGTCAGTGCACATCGATCAGAAACCACACATCGTCATAACGATCACACTGATCATTAGCATGAAGTTCGTGGTAACGTGTGATGTATCTAGGGTAGTGAGTAGAGAGAATTATGCATGTAGTATGGCAGATCGAATTGAAGTTGTTTGACGTGTTCAATGATCAACCGAGATACTTATTCATTGAGCTGCTAACACATTCAACCTCTCACTCTCTCATCAGACATGACTATCTGTGTACATAGGAATTATGTAAATAGTTAGATAGATATTTCTACATAGGATTATGCACAGTGGTGTGATCATGACTTCCTTTGTTGTGTGGGTGTTTGTTCTCGCATCGCTGTCATGCAGTGAGCGACAATGAGCAACGAGGAGACGATTCTCAGTGAGGTAGTTTTGTCAAGTGTTAATGGTAGCAATTCACATTAGTGTTTGCGTGCGTGCGTTTGTGTAGATAGATGATTAAGTGAGTACAATCGCTAATTCAATTGCAGTTGACATATGTATCGTTGTGGCAGTGTTAAATTAGTAATGTGTTAGTAGTAGTAGTAGTAGTAGTAGTAGTAGTAGTAGTAGTAGTAGTA